GCGGTGGGGGCTGCTGAGGCTGCTGTGGCAGCAGGGGCGGTGGCGGCGGCAGCAGCGGTGCCTGGGGCTGCGCCAGACAAGTTATCCCATGGGGCAGTGGTTCCCCAGGCCCCATAGGGATTGTGTTATTCACAAAACCATTCTGGGGGGGAGGAGGGGGGATCTGCCAAAACCCCAACACAGAGGAAATCTCCACAGAGGCAGGAAGTGCTATGTTCACAGCATCTACCAGCACCTCTTTGGGAAAGGTGATTTCCTTAGCCATCTCAAAACATGGGTTGAGTTTGAGAGGCGACTGAGGCTCTTGCAGAGGCAACTCCTCAAAAAAACTCACGTTGCAAAAGCCTTTGGCATCCACTTTAAGTGGCAGGCCTGCAAGTGGGGCAAATGAGGTAGAACCTGCATTGTACTTGTGATCCAGAAGGGTTTGGGGAGGAGAGGCAGGAACTACCCCAGGGTGCAGAGTAACAAGCGGCTCTGGCATTGGTGGCATAGGCTGAGGGACCTGTTCTGGTGGAGCAAGCACTAGACCATGAACCTCAGGTGGCAAGCCACCGGCAAGCCCATTCTGGGCGGGCACCCCTAACTGGAAAGGAGGCATGGCAGCAGCCTTCAGCTGGAATGAAGGTGTAATGGTTTGGAAGGTGCTCATGCACTCCCCTGCCTGCATACTCTCTTGCTTCAGCTCCTGCGAGTGGGTCTTCTTGGTGTGACGAGTGAGGTGGTCTTTGCGCCCAAATCGCTGGGCACAAAACTGACACAGGAAGTCCTTGCATCCTGTGTGGACCACCAGGTGGCGACGCACATCCTTCCGGGTGTAGAAGCATCTCTCACAGTGGTCGCACTGGTGCTTCTTCTCCCTGGGCGCATGGTGGGTCTTTTCTTCGGCATGAGACTTGAGGTGGACCAGCAGGATCTCGGTGCTCCCCAGCTCCACAGCGCAGACCCCACAGGTGAGATCTCCACTGCTGGCCGCATGCAGGGCCAGGTGCCTCTTGTAGCCCAGCATGGTGTGGTACTTCTTGCCGCACTCCTCGCAGATGTAGGAGATCTTGTTGGGGTCGTGGGTCAGCAGGTGATTCTTCAGGTGGTCTTTGCGGTTGAAGGTCTTCTCACAGTAAGTACATTGGTGAGCCTTCTGCGGTGAATGTGTGGCCATGTGCCTGGAAGCAGAAATGGGGGTGGGGCGGGGGACAGTTCACAACAGAATTATTTTATGAATGAAGGCAAAGAGACAACATGGTCAAGATGTGTGACTAGTTATTTTCTCAAGGTCTTAGTGGCCTATTCACTTATAAACTACTTTGTTGTATTTTCCAAATGCATACATTTTATCATTTAAAAAGATAAGAATTACTAAAAGCCAGATTCAACTTTATACCTGCAAAAAATATTGGCAGATTGTTTTCCTATTATATACAGATTTTAAAATATATGAATTTGAATTTTTCCGGAAGTGGTTAAATGGGTGTTTGACACTCTTCAGAAATTTATGAATTTACCAAATTGGCCCAATTTGCTTTGTACGTAGCTCTTGTACTTCGCTGCTTATGCCAACTTAAAATGACTTCACTATGGTTCCTTCCCTTCACTTCTCTTATCTCACAATGCATAAACTACAAGTTTCAGTATATCCTGTAGTCAACACAAACACATCACCTTTGCCCAGCATGTCAAGACTTAGAAGTCTTCATGGTGCTCACTCAAAGTAAGACTCCCTGAGAGGTCAGCCTGCCCTGCCAAGTCAGTTTTTCTAGGCCTGGGCTGTCTCTTCCTAGTAACTAGCTGATTATGGTACTGGGACCCACTTTCTCTTTCCAGTTAAGGAAGTCAGTTATTTTTCTTCTTCAATTGTTGCTTATAAAACAGGTTATGGTGTTTGGGAACGGGATGGAATGCTTCCCGGATATCTTTAAGACAAACCTTAGCATCCTGAAGTCTCACTACTTCCCAATTCCTTAAAAGACATGGACTCTGGCCTGCAGGGAAGCCAGGGGGCTGGGGCAGGGGCAGCTACTGGCTACTGTCTTTTCTCTTCCCCAGGTCTCCCATAGACCCCTCCCCCGCCCCCCAGTGGTCCCAGTGATGCCAAAGCTACCCTCTGTATTTGAATAAGGGTGCCTACATGTATGCAAGATGAGTTTAATGCTAAACAGGGAGCCCTTGACACAAAATCAGTGCACATGGTAGCCACTCGATACGGTTACTATGACAACTAGAGAGAAGGGCCTACATCAGGAGAAATTTGAATTTTAAAATACAGAAGCCCTTTCAGTCTTATTTTAAACATCAACTTATATTACATTATCAGTAATAGTGATGTCCTTAAGGTCAGGAGCATAATTTCTATCTTCCCTTACCCTCTTTTAAGTGCTTTCCTCCAGAGTACTCCAAGGCAGAATGATAATGCAATGCTGCTAATGCTCATTGGAGGCCAGGCTGCTAATTCTCTCACCTTTGCATTTATGTGTGAGTTGTAGCAAGCTGAAGCTTGAAGGATCGTTTTCATGAAGACGACTAGACACAAGCAATATGGAAAGAGGTACACTGACAGCATTCTCTGTAGTCAGTCAGACTATGGTCTGATTGCACAGCTTCTCTTTCCTATGGCATTACCAAAATCAATTGTGGGCAGAATGGGTAGAGAATACACCGTGGGTAGAGAGTACCTAATTGACACTTGAGAAACAATACATACTTATACACCAACTCTCTTGTAAAAGGCTCATCTGAAAACCACTGGTTTGGTATATGATGGACTCTGAAAGACTGAGAAAATGTACATGTGCCAAGTCCAGATACCCAAGTGAACAAATCTTGTTCAGATGTCATCATAATCACAGGAGATAAGGCTTTAAAGATTCCCCAAAAGATTGAAATGCACCCACCCTCTACTTTCTTTTCCCCTTCAAGTGAGAGCCTTGAAGGCCTGAAGAGACACTTAACGGTCCCAGTAAAAGTGCACACCTTGGGAAAGCCTCTCACCTCATCAATTTATATTTAGAGACGAAGGCTTTGCCACACTCAGCCTGTGAGCACTTGAATGGGCGCTCCCTGGAATGTGAATAATTATGGATGGTGAACTTCTCCAGGGTGAGGAAGGACTTGCCACATGATTGACAGCGGAATGGAGCCATGGCCTTTGCTTTTCACACCTTCTTTTTCAGATGTGCTCACCAAGTGCTGTGCCATTTAAGCACAGGCAGAAAAGGGGGTAGGGAGTCGCTCTGCAGCCAAGCGGAGAGCCAGGGGCACAGGAGAGATCCAGGACAGGAAGGAGACTTTCATCACAATAGCTCAGCGTCCTGAATGGCCACCTGTGGAGATAAGAGGAACAGTTTTCTCACACTCATCATTGGAAAACTGTATCTACCACCACTTTAGAGCCAATGACCCACAATCAGTATGTTTCTTTACATTGGCTGAAATGGACCTAGCTCCCCATCCACCCCTCTTGCTTTCCAAAGTCTGTCTTTCTGGAGCCCCTGTGTCCTGACGGCTGGTGAAACATTCTCCCTCCTAATAAGGACTGCTGTTTCACAGACTAAAGGTCATCAACTTCATGGTTTCAGCCCAGTGTGAGACTCTGTTGACTGATTGGGGTGGGGGGATAACCATAACAAAATACAAGTCTTCTTCTTTGTGACCTAGTGTGTTACTGGTTCACAATGGCCACCCTTTATTCAAACCATAAGCTTCTCCTCTTCATGCCCTGTTAGCATAAGCGAAGTTGCTGACAACACCTGTTTAAACTCTCAGGGGATGAGAAGAAATCATTTGTATACATCTCAGTGAATTTGTTTGCAAGATCACTAAGCACAAGGCCGACACTAAAAATGAGGAAAAAGGGCCTCGCTGAACTGGTGTGCTGAAGAGAGAGAAAGTATTCCTATGGAAGCAAGAAACAAGGCTTAGGACTCCAATGAGAGCTGGAGCCATTGTTCTAGAAAATCATTCCATGTTCCTCAGTGGGTTACCCAATGATAGCAAATGGCCTTTTGCCTCCTCCAGCTTGTCTTGTCCCTAATCCAGATCCTTATCACCTTTATAGCCCAGTCAGCATCACAGAAACCCTGGAATTCCTTTTCTGCCCATAAGTTGAGCTGCCTCAAGTGTCTAAGGTAGCATCATAAGCAATACAGTAAACCATTGCTCCACTAAGCCGATCTCAGTTGGGGGGAAGTTAACTCTCCATGCTCTAAAACTTTTGTTTCAAGTACAGGTTGAGGATCCCAAATCTGAAAATCTGCATTGACCCAACAACTGAAATTTTCCAAGTGTTCACTTCTGATAGTACAGGAGGAAAATGTCATACCTGACTCTCTATGACAAGTCACAGTCAAGACACTAATATAGCTCAACAACAATCAGAAAATTACCTAAAGCTATTGTATGAGGTGGGTGTGAAACTGAACTGTGACTGAATTCCATGCTCAGGCTTGAGTCCTACCCACGAGGTATCTCATTATGTTATACGAAAATATTCCAAAGTCAAATGAACTCTGAGCGCTGCTCTCTCTAGTGCTTTGAATAAGGGATTCACAGCCTGTACTATAGGCTTATGTGAAATACATGTGTAGCCTTTGTTCACACGTCAGCCTTTAAGGCAAGTCTTTAAAACTCAGCTGTAGTCTTTCAGTTATTGCTCTAGGTCTTTAAAGTCGCCATTTATTGTCAAACATAAATTTTTACTTTCCTTTTAAGGTACCTTCAAATCAGAAACCTAGGTGACATGTGAACACTGGCTGAACCGCCTTTAACTATAGCAATACATGGTATGTATGCACATAACTGCAAGAACCTTATGTTTTTCCTGCCCTGGATGGTTTTACTGTCTAGGTAGAAGTCACTACATAGGGAATATGTTTGTTGTTGCCCTGTTTGATCTGCTTGGAACCTGTCAAGCTGACTTCTGTGCCTAGGCCTAAAGATGCAGGATCAGGACTAGTCTGAAGCAGGGACATGCTGGCATTCTCAGCCAGTATCTTGGCAACAAGGCTCTAGATGGCTTTGGTTCTAGGGACATGCATTCCCTTAGTCTTCTATTGCCAAGTATGACTTCATTTACTTTTGATTATCCAAGACCATCATAGTACAGGACAGTTTAGAAGAACTCACTATGTTGCCTAGCCTAGCCTTGAACCTGTGGCAATCTTAATGCCTTAGCCTCCCAACTGCTATGATAATTAGAGTGAGCTACGATACCCTACTCAAGAGTAGCTTTTTTTTTTAATGAAACTGTGGGACAATGTCTAGGGCTTCTTATTGGCTAGCTCTGACTTAATTTCTAACCCATTTCTATCAATCTAAGTATTTCCATGAGCTCTTATTCAAGAGTAGCTTTAACTGGGTTCCTGCCTTAGCTCTACTCAAAGCCCTTTTGCCCCCTCCCCTGATCCCTGCTTAGTATTCTAGCTCATGCCCAAGGCCCTTCCTTGAGTCATCTCCAACAAGATTCTTTTTAGAAATTCCACTGTGTGTGGAAAGCTGTAGTACTGGGCCAGCTAAAAAACACATTCATTCAGTTTAAATCACTTGATGTTCTTTCCAGGTCTCTTTTGAAAAGACTAAAGCACACGTGGATTATACAGAGTGATAGGTCCCTCTCCTCCATCTCTTCAGAGCTAAAATAGCACAGAGCCCTCATCACGTTGGAAGAGCCGGCAGGGAGGGCTCTGTATTGCCTTCATCTACTTGCCAAATCCAAGCACATAGGCTTTCTTCAATTTATCTAAGGAAATTTGTTCTCCCTAGCCCTTGCTTTAGGAGATGAACAGTATGCCCAACATAACTTCCTATGATGGAAGTGTGATACAAACAATGACTGCCCCGCACTACACACATGCTGCTGGGAAACCACAATTATCTTAGACTTCCACAGCCACCAGCAGCTAGTGGCTACTGTAAGGGTGACACAGGCAGACTCTTAGAGTCCCTGTCAAAAGATGAGGGGGAAAGCTTGGGCTTTCTTGGCACTTGACTATGCTACTGATTAACCCTTGAGTGTCTTGCTGAAACACAAGTGGGATTTAGATCAGCTATTTTATTAGCATTGGGGGAGGGGGATATGGTTCCCCAGTTCATACTCTAGCTTTATCCTGCATTCCAACTTCTTGGTTGATATAATCACATAATATGTGTAAGTGGCCTGTTGGGGAGAACACAATTGAAGCAAAAATGACTTGTAATCTTTCTATTTCTGATTGCAACGTGGAAAAAATTGCAAAGTATATAGTATGTATAGAATAATAAATGTGTCATGGTAGAGCTAATGGTTCCTACCCTCACCATTGAGCCATATGCACAATGGAGTGGTGATACATGTTGTCTCCCTATGTATATACCAACAACTACTCATCATGGGAGGAACCAGCATGGACATGGAAAAACTGTATTTCCTTCATTTTTAAAGTTGTCCTTTGACACTATGGTTTGTCAGTCCCATTCTCTAGTTACTTCTTCCCTAGATTCCAAATACCAACAGTCATGGACTTAGTCCATGCCATTTCCCCTGGGCCTTCAGAGACTGGGTGCAGACATGGCTATGACTTAAGAGTATGGCAGATTCCTCCAACTTCAAGATCCCCAAGCAGAAAAGCTCCTCACAAAACACTGTTTTCATGACATAATCACAAACTTCCACAAAAAATTTTCCCAACAGACAATAAATTCTTTATGACCAAGGATCAAACCTTACCTATTACAAAAAGCTCACCATGTAGATATATACAACATCTCTCAGCCATCCCTCACCTAATCCATACTAGTTGTATACTGATAATTCTATTCTTCAGTTAAAACCTGATGTACCTAAAATAGACCATCCACTATCTAGAAAGCCATCACAACTATAACAAAGCTGAAGGACTATGGTTCCCCCAAGAGAATCAGTCTGTCCTGTGTCTTGACATACAGATTCCATTGAATCTTAAACATAGTACTATTTCAACACCTGTTACCCTGGAAAGATCATTAAGTCTTCCCCCCAAAACATCTCAGGGCTTAATTTTCAGGCCCCCTGATTCTAAAAATACTAAGTGAGTGATATAGATCTGCCAGCGTGCCAAGGAAGGCTTGGGCCATCTGCTTCATTCTGCTCATGCTGATTATTTTGGGGATGAGGGAGGATCAGCTGG